TCTTGAATCATGATCATTTGGTTACATTGTTGTTTGCATTATCTATCTAAGTAATAATAATGTTAGATCAGAATTAGGATTTACGAGGGGGGGGGTGAGGGGGGTGGTGTCATGAGCCTCATAACCTCCCTCTTGTAGTCGCCCCTGATCCCCGCTAGTTTTATCAGAATTATTATTTGTGGCAGGTAGGGGCAAAATATTTTAAAAAACAGGGTCGGGATGTTGCCTTCTAACTGTACCACACTGTCACCAATCTAAAGTTTTATTACTTCTTCGATTTGAACCCATGCTAGTTCTAGTGTTTTAGACAGTTACAGGAATAATGTGGGATTCATTGAAAAACTCACTGTTGTCGATTGATATGCGTAAGTACTTCGAAGTACACCCACAATACGTTGTTCTGAAGTTCTAGATGATGAAAAAAATTGAAAATGAAGGGGTGGTAAAGTAGGAATTTTCCACCGCACTATTCTGGCACTTAATAATTACCGCAATACATTTTTAATAATAAGATACGTTACCTACTATTGAAAAAGCTCTGAAACTTGCCTGACAGTATTGCAATTGCTTAAAGTATTTAAACAATGGTATTGTATAGAAAATTTAACGCTCAACATAATTGCCATCTTGCACTTTTGAGACTGTTTGGAGACAAGATCAAATAGTGGATTAAATCGCAAAAAAGAAGTTTTGGATTAAACTTATCTAAAATTTGACTTCCATATTCACATCAAATAATTGAAATATGAAAGATTACCCTTCAAATATGTACTATGGTGGTAGTACGCCGAATAGGGTCTTTGTACTGATTTTCCAAAATCACGGTCAAATTTTGAGTAACTTTCATACGCAATTTCTCCCAGGTTACCTCTACGGTGGTTTGGTAATTGCGTTGTAATGTTGAATAAAAGATTATTCACAATGTATTGAACACGACTACTCATATAGCAACACTATTTCTCTTTGTATTAATTTTTAATTATTCTATAATGGATTATTTGTGGTTGTGCACCTAGGATTTTCCAGAACAGTGATTTGCACCAACAGGTTTGAATACAAGGTCGTGTCAAAGGGTGATAATAAATATTATCGGGGGTATCTTCTCTCCTTAAAGACTGAAAAACCAACATAATCCCGAGGCCATATTCTCATTTCAAAAATTTTTCGAACTTAGCGTAACATTTAAAAAATCAACACGAACATGTAAATAAACTTTGCCGCTCATTTACAATGGTAATTAAATTAATAAATTTGACTTCTAATAATGACAAGGTGTGGGACAGGCTTCGGATTGTTTTTGTTTTTGCACCAAAGAAACTGAATGGCATCTTTTTCATTTCCAAAATCGAATTTTAGGTGCACCAGTTCGACCGCTCGTGCGTGATAAATGTCAGTAGATAAATATCATCGATTCGTAATCGTCGCTTTTTTTACCAAATTATTTATAATTTCAAATCATAGCAAAAGAGTTATTAATTCTATTTATAGTGATTATACGATTTTTAAGGCAAGCCCTCGAGCTAAGTGACTGTAAAATGTATACCACTTACGTACAATAGATCACATACTACACCCACATCGCATATCTGTCTATAATTTTTGAATAATAAGTAATTATAATTGACCTTAATGTATGATTTCATTAAGTGAGTAAATAAAAATTGATAGTACACACCATCTTGTTGGTCTTTGCAAGGTTAAACGTACATCTTCCATAAATTAATAAATTGCCCGTACAATGGAAGACGTTAGAATGCATGTAGTTTGTCAAGAGGAGGACGGTTATTGTTCTCTTGGGCGATCTTAGCATAGATACTTTTGCTTGCTTAGAAAATTAGTAAAATCCATCCCGCCAGACTTGCTTATATTCGGATTAGTCTTATGACCTTATTACGGCGGAAAATGGTACGAGACGAGCACGTATTGTTACGGTAGTTTTTTAATCAAATGCTAGGTGGGCGTGAACCCGGCAATGACCCTTTAGTTTAGTTTGGTGAGCAACGTACAAATTTTTTCCACCCAACTGCAACGTTAGCGCAAAATGGAGAGTGCAAGTATTGCGGAACTCCGAATCTGTGAATGTAATCATAGAAAACATACACATCTATGCTAATTAAAATGCCGGCAGCTTTAATTGCATAGCATTTATGTGGATCACGCCCATTCTCTTTGAATTCTTACCGACGTATTGCGAATATATTTAAATGTGCCGCCTATATGCTCTATAATTTAAAACTGATATTACGTATTTATTCAAGTGACACATTGAGACGAACCGTTTTTTTTGCATTCTGCAAAATTAATGTCATTATTCAAATCGATCTTCGACACCTCCATTCGGCATACGGATAATAACATGGCGATGGACGAATTCGATTATAAATAATTATAGGAATGTCTAAAATATCACCTGGTATGTTTGCACGTTTTCCAAGGTTATCAATTTCGTGCCACTACTTTCGACTCATTAATTAAATGAGCTAGAACTCGTGGCGGGAGGTAGACATTTTTAATATTTTTATTATGGGGATATGAAATGTTGAAGAACGCCGAACTGGTTCCGGCATAACCGGATAACGTCAAAGCGCTTTGTTGTACTCAATTTGTCTATATGGGAACTTTCAGAAACTGGTAACCTATAGATAGAAGATACTTGTTTAGCTAGTTTACATCGAGATTATAAAACATCGTGGGAGCCTGATCCACGTTTGAGGGACATTATAGTACATTTCCTCTGTTTGGTCAATGATTTTTTTGGAAGAATATAAAGCGAATATTGTCCAATTACAATACCTTTCAAATTCTATTTTTTATTGAATTTCCTTAAGGGATTTTAGGATCAGAAGGCAGTTCCAAGATTGGGCTACTAGTTCAAAAGTTACAGCCCTTTGAATTTTCTTTCGAAATTGGTTTCTAGTGTATAACTTTTTATTGAGAAGTCTGATCGAAAAAGTACGAATTGTTTTGAATTCTACGCACCAAAATTAATAAGAAAAAGTGTTTTCCCGAGAAATTTTGGTGCAGTCGATTTTTGGTAAAAAAGGAAGGTTATACATTGGTCCGTATGAATAAAAGTAAGCAAATGCTTATACTTGCAAAATACAAAGTAAATGCTCGTAACTACCCCTCAATACTGGTCTCTTTAGCATGGTTTAGCAGCACTGCACTCAGCACTGCGTCCTGTCCTTCTGCTTAGAAGAGCTGCTAAGTCGCCCAGTGCGAAGGTGCACTTACGAGTATTTACTTTGAATTTTGCAAGTATAAGCATTTGCTTATTTTTATTCATTCAGCCCTTTGAATTTTCTTTCGAAATTGGTTTCTAGTCTATAACTTTTGATTGAGAAGTCTGATCGAAAAAGTACGAATTGTTTTGGATTCTACGCACCAAAATTAATAAGAAAAAGTGTTTTCCCGAGACATTTTGGTGCAGTCGATTTTTGGTAAAAAAGGAAGGTTATACATTGCCTTTTTTTGAGGCCCTCAAAAAAATTGTCTCAGATTGACCCGGAAAAAATTTTTCTTATGGAATGTGGCCTGTAGAATCCATAATTTCAAACAGTTCAAGAAGCTATATCGTAAGAACCGCCGTAAACTATAAGAAATTGTCGTATTTTCCCACTTATCGGAACACTGGAGAGTATATCTTCAATCGGTTTATCTCTAAAAATCTGAATTAAGGGTGTAAGTGTTGCTATAATACAATGCTCATTCCTTGAAAGCAGTGAACATTTGCATTATTGTACCTAGCGATAAAGAACACACGGAAAATGTTTAGAAAATTCTCAAAAGATTAAAAATCAGAATCAGTTGCAGTGACGAAACTTAGAATTTTAAGAGAAACTGAGAGGTCCAAGAAAATATGAAGTGTGAGAGACCGTTATGTTGGGTTCTGTCGGATTCGAGGGTTGGGAAAATTAAGTTATTTAAATTTGGAAAGCTCCACACCAATTTCCATGGTTGAGGTCTAAGGCTAACTATTTCAACATAAAAAACAATTGAAAACCAGTCGCACTCTAAATTTCGGAAAAATTTATTTTCAAATTGATAATGTAGTTTTTGACGAAAAGGTCTGGCCTCTTTTCAAACGAACCGTTTGCAGAGAATAACAAATTATTCCCTGACCATCCCCTAAAACATCCTCTAAGATCTTTGGAGACAGCTGAATGTCCTCAAATATTAATCACATTCTCACAACTCTCTCGTTTGTGATGCTCGCTAGCGATCGCTCAGTTAGTGCCTGGGGTGGGGGGGGGGGGGGGGTCGTCACAGATTGTTGATCTAAATTACAGTATGTTTTTCATTGTAAGTACTTTAAGTTACAGTAAAAAATCGATATAACGCGATAAGTACTGGGCGAGTTACCTGGGTCGTATTAATACCCCTACTCACTACGCCACTGCTTATAGTATTCTTAAGTAATTAGAATCAATTTTAAATGTGTTATGATTTGTGCATTTGAGTCCGATCAAATGACAAGTTTACAGGAATCTGGTAGTTTTTAGTGAAATTTTACTATGTTATTTATGTCTCACAAGTGTGCCATTGTGCACACTAGTAGTGGCCGTGGGGAAGTGAACCTAAGGTAAACATTCTCAATGTAAAATATCACTAAAACCATCAGTATAATTATTCATTATCCCCATATTGTACGTCAAGTCGTCAACACACTTTTCATAAGCATAAATGACAATAGTAGATAAAACCTGTTATCAAAACGAAGATTTTTATTCTTAGAGATACGGTGCAATAGAGATATGAGTAATTTCTATATTACGTGCATCCTTGACTAACTACTAGCATTGAATAAAAACACTATTTTATTCAATGCTACTAGACATTTTGGAAAGGAAAACAAAGGTGCACGTTTGCTGAAATTTTCTGATTTTTTTACTTATTTCAATTTTTGGATTTTTCTTGAATTTTGCAACTTTGCACCTTTGCAAATACCGCCCCACCCTTAAAAATGTACAGTGATTGTTTTTAATTCTCGTATCTATTAGGTACTGTGAAGATCCTTCTAACAAAGTGTCAGAGTAATAACAATTTACAATGGAGATGGAAGGAGGAGTGGAGAGAGATAACTTGTCATACAGGAACCATTACTATAAGGTACTTTTTACTGACATTTCAGGTCATTAATATTAAAAATGGATGTAGGGAGTGGACGGGCAGTGTCAGTGTTCCTCTCTAAAAAAAGAATCACGTGGGTATTTACATAAAAACGAGAAGTGAAGCTTCATATCAAATACAGGTTTTTACGCCACTGATTTTTGAATACGTTTACATTACAGATATTTAAAAACTATTAGTTGATGGATTGTTTATAAAAAAATCAAAATAAGTTCAAAATTAAAAGAAATACATTTTGAGTGACATTTCACAAAAGCAATATCCATGATTAATTGAATTTTTCGAGGAATTTCTTTAATAAAAAACCTGAATTTAATTTAGTTTTTAAATCCCGAAATAACGATTTTAAAGTCAAAAATCAAAAACGTCAATATTGTTATTTTTCGTCATATTTAAAAAAGAGGGGGTAAATTTGGTTTTTTGCTTTTGTTTAGGGGTAACTCCAGGATCAATTTTGTCCATTTAACCAACTCTATATCTGTACTAATAAGCGTGATTTGATACAATAGCGATAATAAAAGAGATAAATTATTTTCCTTTTTACATTATGTAGGAGAAAAATGCCGATTCTATGCTCTACGTTTTCCATATGAACTTTTAGTAGTGTTTCGATAACTGAGGCTAAATTAGCGAAACATTTGTTAAATTGAATATCCTTGGTGTCTGTTTTTTCGTTTTTGTGTATAGCGCCAATGGTACAAAAATACTAGATTCCTCCTTGTGTGATAAGTGGTGTAGGTTTTTCCTCTTTTGCAAACTATTAGCTAAGAGCTTATCTATCACATTTCCACCTCAAAACTCGAATTTGAATACAACCTCGCATAGCAACTATATTCACGTCACCAATCTTTTAAATTCAGCGCCGAAACTCACGCACTCGTAATTACCGAAATTAGCCAATGGCAATAGCAATCTTACAAGTGAAATTACCAAATCGCCACCTACCGAAACGAATATTAATGCGACATGCCAATTTAAAATTGTGCTCGAGCGTTTGACAGAAAAAAAGGATGTTTATTTCAGAAAAAAAAACTATATATGGGACAATTGTTCGGGAGATACGTTATCTTTATTGCGGCATTACTACTAATTCTATAATTGACGAATATAACGCTATTTAAACAAATAACTAGTAAATGAGGTATTTGTATTCATATAATTGTTTAAACTCCCGAAGCTCCTAGCGCATTTTAATTTGGTTTAGCGGAAAACATTGGCGCCATTTTATTTAATTATTATTATTAGTATTCAGGAGTGTTTTTATTATCTAAGGTATCAGCAGGATGTTTGCTATTTTTGTGCAAATAGATCCTATTTGTTTAATAATATAGCTTACGAAATTGTGCCGAGCTTTAAATTACAGGTGTATATAGGTAACGCGCACCCCCTCAATATTAAATTAGCCATAATTATAGTTTTTAATTTATTAAATCGTCTATTGAGAGATAAATTACTTAATATCTTTTAACGTGACGTGAAATGTTACATGTAATTAAAATTTCACAGTAATTATTTTCATACTGTGTCAAGGATGCCTCGGTGCAGATAGGCGCAGTTCGTGGAGAATTATGACTGGCCCCTCTAAACACTCAGCAGACCGATTGACGCTGTAAAACCACAAGTGGAAGTATTTCACGTTTTTTTTTTTGCATATGAGAACTTTTATATTTCTTGATATGATGTAATTTGTTTATGAATCTGGCGGTATAATACCAATAGTATGGTAATTATACCGCTCGTAGTGTTTAAATTAAATTTGCAGGAAAAGTTGTACAATGTGCTCACGATCGTAATAATTAATTCGTATCAGGTGTTGCCGTTTGATATTACTTTCAGATAAGCCGCAACAATACAGCTATTAAATAACAATTTTGTACCATGCATTTATAATTGCAATGTTTACGATGCGAATATTATTCTGCGCTTCTTAGTTCCGGTTCGCGAAGAGAAAAATGAAGATTATATTTATTTCATCGAGCGTGGAGGAAATGGACATTCCAAACGGTTTACGAATGTGTGGTCGTGTCAAGGATGACATCACTGAGTACGTAACACTAGATCAGTGACGACACAGTGACACCACACAGAGTCTTCTTTTCTTTTACCATCTTACCACCTCACCCAGTCTTACAGAAAGAGAAGTTGGGAAAAACTCGTCACTTACATTGGAATATAATTGAATAGCTATAGGCGGGAGGGATGGAGTTCACTTCATTGAGGAAATTTCGATGCTCGGCTTTTTTTTATTGCCCTGCAGAGGAGGGCGTAAGTTAGTGTGAAATTTACATAAGAGAATGCATTATGAATAATCGCAATGAGGTAATAGCTTAATGAACGTGATTCAAAAGTTCCATAATTTTACCCTTAATTAAAGTACAAACATCTCAATCTGTGTATGTGGTACGCGTTTGGGTGGTAAAAATACATCTAATTAAGGGCATTTTCTGTTGTTTGGGTTTGTTTCTAGTAGCGATTAAAAAAAGAAAATAACTGGCACATTGGCAACAGATTTTTATTGTTAATGATAGTGTGTTGTTGATGAGGGATGGGGTAGGTTTGAGTAAAAGTGAACAGTTCAATAAACATTTATCTACCATCGTCATGTGGGCTTCGTCAGAGAGCAAGTGTGTCACCCCTTGCTACTAGTATCAAATTTTGGTCTGTTAGTGCTTTTTTTATACTCGTAGATGCAATCGTGATCAATAGACTCCAAGAGTTATCCTTTGCCAGTTATAATAAAACAGAATAAATAGATGTGGTTAGCGGAATAAACTTTTGCTTTCCACGCCTACACTTTTAGAACATTGATTTAACAAAGGCTTTTCCTGTCGATCAATGTAAGTTGCATTCTTTGTGTCTCTCACAAAAAAACTACTGCAGAACTGACTACCTACACAAACCTTGCACCGCTTCGTAGCGATCAATACCTAACAGAAAGAAAAATCGATGACGTTAAAAGTTTGCGTATTCTTTCCTTCAAATTCACGTTTCGAGATTAGGAATTCCAAAATTAAGTCACTTTCGGAAATCAGATCGCAATGCAACGTTCGATATATACGGGCTTCTTCAATTTCTCATAATCTAACACTTTGTAGAAAAATTTGTGCGTATATACACTTGTAGACTTGTACACTATGCTTGCCTAGTGAACTTAGACTATGCTTGTATACAGGACGATTTACGCACAAAGATTCTCACTTAGCCACCTACGCTATTGGCTTGAAATATCCTGTAAAGGCCCCATTCACATGCGGATATGTCCGGCGGATCTGTACGGCGGACAGATCCGCCTTGAGCTACACACAGGCGGATATGTCTGTACACAGATCACGGACAAATCTCAATAGATGAGCAGGCGGTGTTCTCTCACTCTTTCAGTTCTGTAGTGCTAGCCCCTGGGTTGTGTGGTTTTGAGTGCTGTCGTAATTGCTATGGATCATAAGAAGAAACTGACAATAATTGCAGGATATATAGTTTTATTTGAAGATAGGAAACAGAAGAGACTGTGGTCAAAACAGTGGTTCTTGAATCGAAAAAATACCCTCATATGACTTTACTTAGAGATTTGGAAACGCCTCATGATTTGCACAATTTTTTCACATGGACAATGAGAGATCTGAAACTTTATTAAAATATGTTCGCCCAGTTATTTAGAGGAACGATACCCATATGAGGCAGTTACCAGTAGAGAGCGATTAATTGCCATGCTACAGTACCTACTTGGCAACTTGAAGGAATTTTGAAGATCTAAAATTCAGTTGTGCAATCTCCCCACAGCTTCTCGCGAAAATTATACCAGAAACCATTGAATAAAGGTGCTTATTCAATGCTGAAACTTTCAAATAAGCCACCAGCCTTGGCAGAATATGCTCGGAAATGGCCTAAAATAATTTCATTAGTAGTTAGGTGTGCTTGGTTGGTGGAGTAAGGCACTATAATGTTTACCAGTATTTAAATTGTGCCCCAAAAATGCGCATTTTGTTCTGGAATGTTAATATCACACCATGGTCTTCAAATTTTACTTTTAAGATATCCCCAAAAGGTAACTGATCGGATTGTATTTGACTAACAGTTTCACCAACAGTTCGGTGTTGTTCTGCAATTTTGCTTGTAAAATTACCCAAAAGATCATTTAAATCTTTAGCACAATTTGCGCCTGCATTATATTCAAAGTAATTAAAACAAAATATTTTTTTAAATGACTGTTTAATTGGAGTAGGTTGAGTCGCTTTTCCATTTTGATTTCTTCAATTTCCAAACATATTTTCAACAATTTCGTATTTGATGATTCCATGTCCGGCAAACAAATCCGTGAAACGACTACACACGTGCGTATCTGTCGGGCTCGCTGTCCGTGCTCGTCGTTCTGATCGACGGATGGCGAGCAAGAAGTAGGCGTAATGTGGTCTTTTTGGGTAAAACTTAAAATGGCAATATCAAATATGAATTATAAATTGCTCCATATTTAGTCGTAGAATGTTTATAGAAATGCAAGAAACGTTGACGTTCCATTCCATTCATTTTTGCAAAATCAAAGTTGAAATTATTCGCTCGGTTAAGATTTTATTTAAAAGTTTCTTTATAAGGATTGTTGAATAATCTGTCGTTTTCATAATAAGTATACGGGGTCGCGTAAAAAAGTTAACGGACCTTACTTACCTAATTTTTTTAATGGAACACTCCGTATATTTGAATCCAAAAAGATTCAAAAATATAACACATCATATTTTTATATATATATTTTCTATGCGAATTTTATAAACTTTACCAACGCGATAAAAAAAGGATTTACATTCGAGTCGCTTTTGGATGTTTAAATTAAATAGATCTCCCGTGTAAACAAAAATTCCAAAGGTGACTCGAAAGCTCTCTCTGTTTTGATCGCATAGCAGGTACTTTAAACCACAGTAGGCTATGAAACAAAAGCTAAGCTCCTAACTGGAAAGACAATGTACTTTAACAAAAAGGAGAAGAAATAG